AACGCGGCTTTAATTCCCTCGATGGTTGCCGACTCTCATTGCTGCAGTTTGCGTCTTTTTTCCTACTCTCCTTTCGTTTTACTATTTTTCCTTTGTGCGAGCTCAGGCATGAACAGATTCGTTGCTACTGAGATGAATTTGCCCCATGGCGGCGAATGGCAAGGTGGTTTCGGAGGAGGATTGGATTGGTTTTGCTTTTACCAGAGGTTATACCCCCTTTTTCGCCTCCCGGAGGGACGTCTCGGCGTTGGAAACTGGAGAGGGTTGGGTGGGTTACTTGGCTTAAGATACCCCTTTCTTTCTTGTACCATAGGCTAGATCTCGAATATCGTTACAGTCATCGATCCTTCCACCGGGCGGCGTGATTCGTACAGTGCTTTTCTTTGCCTTCTAGAGTTTACTTGGTGGTCTTGTTGCCTTATTTAAGCAGCGACTCAAGGTGACGCATATTTGACATGGGCCAATGGATTTGTAATTCTGACGGTCAGAGATAGTTGCCCTGGTTGGGTCAAAAATTGAATTGAGTCGCTGTTTGGTCGAAGCTTCCAAAGGACTCATAATTGATCATGAGCAACAAACCAGCACCAGATGGAAGGCTGGAACCCTTGTCCTGATGCTCGTCCCGACTTTAGCAAAGGCCTTTAGCAGTATTCATCTCCAAAATGGGAGACCGCCACTTTGCCCAGTCAGCTAAGGGCAGGAGCCACTTCGATTTTCGAAGGTCAGGAGTCAACCGAATTTTCCACTCCACTCATCCAACTCACAATCCCATCGACTCCCACGCGACTCCATCGACTCATAAACGAATATCGGGCCATACATTCCACCGTTCAAGTACTACAGACTGCCAGCGAATTTCGACTCTGCTTCAACTGCACACCTGTACACCAATCCGAACGCAAGTCCGGGCGAACCACTCAGCGATCAACACGAAAGAAAGCAAGCATGAGCAAGGAATGTCGGGAAGAGTTCCACATGGCGGGGTTGGAGAAGAAAGAGCTCTTGAAGATGCTGAGAAAGATATACCACAAACCCACGTGGAATTTTGATGTCATGCGTGTAAGTGTCACGCGGCTGGCGTCATGAAGTGGTCGACTGACGGTTTAAACCAGTCTCAGGGGGGCGACTCGTAGAACGTCCTTGTCCCTCGCGGATTGACACCAAAGGAGAGGAACGACATTATGTTACGATACAGCACCAATGAAGTCAGTCATGGAGATTGTGTCCAAGCCGGGGAGCAGACAGAACCAGCAGAGTTGCCTGACATACAACAGAACGGGCCAAAAACGGACGCTCAGAGAGAGGAGGAATACATTTCAGGTCTATCAAAAAACTAACTACACATGACTTCGTCGCAACATGATCATGAAGGTGGCTTGCGCCGATGCTCTAGTAACCGAACCCGCTCTCCCACCAATGCTCACCAGTATGCCAACGTCCGATCGCTTCCATGTCGGGCTTCCACCACGACGTCTCCCCTCGACCGAAACCCAGCGCCCGCACAACCGACACGGGGACAGGCTCGACCAGCCACAGACCGGTCTCCGCGAAGTCGTCCGCCAGGGGCTTGACGGTGACCTGCAGCCACACAAGGACGAACATCAAGTTCCCGAACCGCCTCACGATGCGGGGCATCTTTGCGATCTGAGATTTGAAGGTCGTGCAAAAGGCCTTCTGCAGCAGGACGCCGACGCCGGACGCCCAGAAGAAGGAGCAGGGCTTCAACCAGTTCGTCTCGGGGATCGCCGTCACGCTGCCGGCGCCGTGGAGGAGGCCCGAGAGCCAGAAGGCGATGGACATGATGATGAGCTTCGTCGTCGTCGTGCCCTGCTTCAGATACCCGTGCTGCACGAGCCAGTTTCCGGGGGCGGAGAAGGAGTGGCGGAACGTCTGGTGCCACCAGGCGCCCCAGAACCCGGCCAGGCCCCTGTCAAAGACCTGGGAGAAGGAGCCAAAGACGGAGGAGTACTGCCACAGCTCGCCGCGCATGGGAAAGACCTTGCTAAAGACGTAGTACTGGAATAGGTCGTGAACAGAGAAAACCATGACAATCGACGCGTACAACGTGCAGATGATGCCGGAGTGGCGGTAGACGGACAAGAGCCAGTGAGGGGTGGATGCCAGGTGAGGAGGCAGCGGGAACGGCGTGCTGCCGAAGATGAAGTACGGGTCCTCGGTGCTCTTGACCTTGAAGATGTCGAGGATGATGTACGCGAGAGAGACGGGAATGAGCTTCCGTCGCAAGAAGTCGCGCTCGTCCTTGTACGTCTGGCAGCCGACAAAGGTCTCCAGCGGGATCGTCTCCATCTTGACGAGCTCCTCAGTGTGCGGGTGCTCAGGCGGAGCAGGGCTAGGCACGGACGAGACAGCCCATGACCAACCTATTCTTGTCAGTGTTCTGCGCACTAGTAGCTCGAGAAGGTTCACACTTACCGACGCCTCGGAAGTTGGTGTACAAGTCCACGACCCAGCCCAGACGCTCGACAAAGGTGCCGTTCTCCGGGTACGACTGCCAGTAGTATTCGTACTTGTCGACGTTGACGTCCGGTGCCGTGGCCTTGTTGTTCCGTCGTCTCTTGCTGCCGGCCCGTTTGCGCAGCCCGCCCTGGGAGTTTGACCGCGCAGCAGGCGAGTTGGATCGGCTCGACTTCCTCGAGGGCTTGGGCGACGACGTAGCCGTCTTGGTCACCTTCCTCCTCGCCACCCTCTCAAAGTCGAACTGCGGGGCGGTGAAGACGAGGTTGGTGACGCTGGACAGGATCCCCCAAAACGCAGACAGGCCGCTCGAGTAGCCCATGGACATGTTGGTGCTGGAGGTCTCGCGCATGATTTTGATGTTGAAGGCGATGATGAAGGCCAGCACGAGCCATCTCGCGGCGTAGACCCACGGGCGCTTCCTGTGCGGGATGGTCATGTACAGGATGGGCAGGATAAAGGTGCCAAAGATGCCGTAGGGCAGCACGAAGGGCTTGGAGACGCCGGCCGCGACGCGGGCCTTGAAGACGGCGCGGTAGCTGTCGCGCACGACCGCGGCGAGGAGAGGCGTGCTGGCGTTGACGAGGTCCGCGGCCGGCTTGGAGAAGTTGGCGAGGATGGGCGCCGTCATGTTGGGCACGCCCAGTGTTGCTGTGATGGCAGCCGCCATGTTGGACGAGGTATGTCTCTGATCAACCGTGACAGGTTACGTTGAATGTCCAGAGAAGGCGGAGGAGACTTGTCAGGCTGGCCTGGAGATCGTAAGACAGAGACAATGTTCAAGAGAAGGGCTGGTAGTATAAATAAAACGTTGCCAGCCGCCTCTGCGTGGCTTGTCTGACTCGGATATAGCACGTAGATGTACGAGGACAGCGCCGGTTCGCCCCGAGTACGGGAAGCAAAAGAAGCGGCGACTACGGCCGGGAAACAGGGATTCTCCAGCTAACGGACTTTTTTATTTTTTTTATTTTTTTTTATTTACGACCAAGGCTCACGAGCCGTCGTGAGAATGTTGTGCTGCGTTTTCCTGAACGTCTTGCAGCATCCCGCAACCAACGCACCCTCCACCGCCCCGCAGTCTTCCCGTCGTGCTTGGACGACCCCGGTTGGGAGGCAAGGAGGCGGGACGAAAGACGACGAGAAACCGAACCCGATTACGATTGGAGGACAGCACGGGGGACGTGGAAAGCCCGATCCGAAGGCGAGAGGGAAGGGAATGGGGGGATTTAAGGCCTCGGAAGTGGACAAAAGCGTCGGGCTCAGGTTATGCGACATGTGGCGTGTGCGAGAGTAAGAGTGCGGCGATTTGTGGTGGGTGGTGGTAATAGCGCTCCTCCAGACAAACAACACAGAGAGAGGATGGAAAGCAAGGACGAGAAAGACGAGTTGGTGTGAAAAGGTGTGTCAACCCTCCCGAGGCGATTCTCAAGTCGAAGATCCGTTTCGCCGCTTTGGAAACAAAACGCTTCCCTCAAATAGGTAGCAGGATATCATGGGGGATGGGATGACATTGCAATGCGAGCAGGGGTGCGGCGGCGGCGAGGAAGCAAGCACGAGAGATATGCCAGAGATAAGCAAGGAAGGCAGAGATGTGTGCGTGATGTGAAATAAATGCAGGCCAAAAGACGAGACGAAAGAAGAGAGAAGCATGTTTGAGTCGAGTCGCCGCATCAACTTTCGTCTGACGTCAACCAACAAGTCTCCGGTCGATCCAAGTCCCGGCGCGCGGCATGCTACTCGCCCCACGTCAGCCAGGCGGGCCGCCACCCACCCACGGTCCTGCCTCGGGTGACGGGGTGGCCCCTGGAGGCGACCAGCGGTGGGCGAGGTGGCTCCCTGCCGGGTCCGAAGACGACGAATCATGGCGGGGCGCTGCAGCGGACTCGCTCACCCACCCACGGTGCGTTGTAGGGGGCTGATTCGCTGGCCGCCGGGGACCCTCAGCGGCTCCTGCGGGCGGTCTCTGCTTCAGTCTGGTCCAGTGTCTCTCACCTCAGCTCAGCAACAGCAAAGCGTACACGAGTACGGGACGACAACGACCGACTCGGGGCGGGGCACTGCCACGACTTGCCTCTTTTGCCCTCGGGACGAGTCGCAGGGGCGCTTCACGTGGGAGACCGCGGATGCTTGGATGCATTTTCCCACCAAACCCCATCATGGACTCCTCCCAATCACCACCGCATCATGCGAAGGTCGAAAGTGGCAATCTGATGGAGAAGAGAAGCACCGGCACGACAATCCACTTCCCAGCGACACGACGGACGCAAAAAAGCAAACAAGCGAGAAGCGAAAACAAGGTGAGGCTCATCGGAGCTGACGGTGTCAAACATGTACGCCTTAACCTTGGAAGGATATCGCAAATCAAGGGGGGCCAATCGATCTGCCAATTGGGCTGTCAATCTGCCCACCCCGGCACTCGATTCCCTCCCCCCTAATGCAATCACGATCTAGATTGCTACCCAACCATCACACCTTAATTCGACCATGCTAATGACATGATGCAGCACAAAACCCTCCCCGCGATTTCAACCGGTTTCTCTGCCCACCACCATCAAACGTTCGGACAACGGTGCTTCCTTTTGTCTTTTATGGTTCAACGGGGTAAACCAGTCCCCGCCGCCGCCGCCGTCGACGTCGTCTCTCTTGCCCTCCTCGTCTGCCACCGCCACAGGGCCCCCCAAGCCCCCCTAAGACACCGTCCCATCGACGTCAGCGTTTGGGAGGCCCCGGCTTGGACGGGACCGCCCACACTCACTACCGGAGTTTCTGGACACTGTGATGCCGTCTTGCCCACTGCCGGCGCCGTGTGGATCGAGCGTGCAGCCGGGCTTGGCTCGGATAGCGTGGTCGTCTGCCCCTCGCCCGTGTGAGCCACGCCTCCAAGACTCCAAGGCATCGACAGCCGCGGGAGCCGCAATCTGGTCTTCTTGTTCGCACCCCGCCTCGCACCCAGCGGCTTGACGATGGCGAGGGTGACGACCGTCATGACCAGGCTCGCGACGGCCCAGGTCCCGAACGCCGCGACCGAGAAGCTGTACACCGGGACGGGCGCGTCGGGAGGACCCTCCCCGGCGGCAGAAGCGCTTTCGTTTTCGTTCGGAAGGTCCTGAAACTTTACAATGTCTGTACTCAGGACGGTCTAGCTCGCGCAAACGAGTTGTGCTCGTCCGATCAGCCCATGCCGTCGTCTCGGTTGTCCATCCCAACACCTTGCCTTCGTTCGGGGTCTTGTTACTCACCGATACGACAGTCACTGGCAGCAGGATCAATGCTATGAAAGAAAGCTGCTTCATTGCGGCCGAGTCATCTGCGGTCAGCTCGGCGATCGACTTCATCTGCTGGTTCGCATGGTGCGTCTGCATCCGTTGAATCTTTGACAACGCGTTACTCGGCGGACCCCGACCGGGGGGCTTCGTTCACGACTCACGTATTCCTCTCGGTTCTCGGCCAGCTTGTCCAGGGCCTGCGCCCGCTGCATCAAATCCTCCATCTCCTCCATCGCTGACGATAACTCGCCTTTGAACTTGTCCAAGTGCGCCTGCATCTCGCTGGCGTGGCGAAGATCAAGCCTGTCCAGCTCGTCGGTCACCTGTTCAGTGAGAAATTCTCGGAGGCGTTGGAGGACGCGGAGGTTGCTGTCGACCCTCATGGCGCTGCGGTGACGCTGCTCCATGAGGAACGCCATGCGGCGGAGATCTACTTCGTGGATCGCATCCGTCTGCGCGTCGTCCTCTTCGTCAAAGGGATGCAGGTACGGCTTTGTCTGCATATCAACCCTTAGCATTTCGTGTCATTGTCCCAACATGAAAAACCTACCAGTTTCGATAGATGCAGTTCCAAATCCTGGAAATGCGGTGAGAGCTCGTCCACAGCCCATTCGACAACAGCAAGGAGGCAATCCAGACTGACCCGGAACCGGTCGGCCACCCCTAGAGCGCTCATCCCCTCCAGTGTCCCCTCGAACCTCTCCTTGACCGTATCCCACAAGAGATTCTGCGTGCCTTTTCCCTTCTCCCGGTGGTAGCTCCGCGGGCTCGTGAGCAGCCAGACCGCCGTGCCTTCGACGACGTCAAAGTGGACGTACGCCGCCGCCGCGTGGGGCTGCCAACGCGGCGTCTTGCTCGGGTCTTCGCCCTTGGGCCACGCGTGGAGGGGGTACCTCCGCATGCTGAACATTGTGAAGCAGAGCTGTATGTGCGAGCCGCTCCGGCCGAGATTCGCCACAGCCATGCCCTGTTTAGAGGCCAGGCTCGTCGTGCCCCGAAACCCGGCGAAGCGCATGCTGCTCGCGAAACTCCAGGACTCGGCGCCGCTCGTGAGGAAGTTGAGCAGGCAGGACGGGACCTGATGGTACGTCAGCAGCTCCAGCAGGACCTTTTCGCTGAGGTTGAGCAGCAGCGACGTCGGGCTCAAGCGTTCCAGTAGCCTGGTGTTTCCGTCAGCTGGCAGTCTTCTGAAGCCGAGTAGCGGCGTACACTATTCTCAGAGCCGGGTCCCTCACGAGCGTCGCCGATTCCATCGTAATCTCGGACGGGCTGGGCCACGCCAGCTTCCTGCGCAGCCCAATGACGTTCCGGATGATGTGCAGGCTCACCCGCCTCGGCCCCTCTTCTTTGCTCCATGACTCGGCGTCGTCAAAATCTACAATGATCAATGGCGTATCGATCCTCGACGGAGGCCCGTCAAAGATTGCGTCCCTGTTTGCCGCATAGTGCTCGAGGCACGACCGAAGCGCCGGGCGTCGCTCGTCCTGTCGTATCAAGGAGTCAGGATACGTCTCTGCCACGGCGATCTTCTCGAGGAACAGGCGTTCGCACTCGTCCATCTCGATAGATTACAACGGATGTATTCACTGCGGAATCCAAATGCTGGTGATGGGAGTCTAGTTGACCAGTGCATTTCAGGGAACCAAAAATACCTCCCATCACCGCCGGCAGCCTCGAGAAGAGCGCGGTGCTCCTCGAGCCGTACGGCCATTCTGTGACACAGGTGGCAGGTCGCCCGGACGCCGACAGCCTCGAAAACGCCTGGTCGTACACGCAAACTGGATCGCACAGAGTGACACGGGAACAGACCGCCAATAAGACATCATGACACGCTGGCTGCGGCAACACGAGGAGCTGTGGACCGCATCAGAAGTCTTCGCGAGATTATATTTTGCTCCTGTACTACTTGATGTACTTCTTTACCCGTGCAGTCTTCGCTGTGTCGAGTCTGCCCAACTCGGCATCAATCCACCCAAGGACCGGTGCAAAGTTCGCCTGCCTTTTCAACAAGGCCTTTCTCACGGCATCAAGTGCTAGCCTGGTCAAATGTCAGCTTGCTGTGATTGCGAACGCGCGAAATTGTACAAACCAGGTAACGTGCGTCTTCTCCAAGGTGCAGCTGTAACCGGGGTGCTTTTCCTTCCTCGCCTTGCCCGTGAGGAGCACAAATGCCACATCGATGATCCTGTTGATGGTTTCTAAAAGAATGTGAGCCAAATGACACCCAAAGTCGCAACAGTAGGCACCTACGCGTGAGCATGCGGCTTCTGGGTCGCTTAGCAGCAGGCAGGCAGCGCCAGTAAGCTAGCATCTTTTCTGCCGTCTCCGTGAAGGCCTTGTGGAGGTTGGAGAAGACGGTCTCGAGCGTGTTGTGTCGGGTATCGTAGAACATCCAGTGGGACTGGATCTTGAAGGCGTCTGCAAGAGTCAGTAAAGGAAAGGAGACTCAGGTCGGATGACCTACTCAGGACCCTTCTCTGGAAGTTTTGCCCCGGCTTGACTCCGTAGTCGACAGTCAGGGCGTTCGAGACTGCGGCCCCCTTCGTCGTGTCGTGGTCCCTGATCATGTCAAGCGTTTTGCAGTCAATACTCAAGCCACAGTAGGGGAACGGGCCCGATTCTGGTGCCCTGGACACCTTTACGCCGTCAAGCTCCAGGTCGAAGTTGACTAGCGTCTTGTTGCGGTTGACTGCCACGCCATACTCGGGAACACCACCGTGCATGACCTTGACGAACTTGCGGGCTTTCCTCTGGCTCGTCGAAATGAGGAGGAAGTCATCAATGAGCCTTAGAAGCAGACAATCCTTGCTGCGAAGGAAAGAAAGACGCTCTGCTTCGAGGTCGGCGTAGAAGTAGTTGCAGAGAGCCGATGACAAGACAGAACCCTGCGGGATGCCCTTCTTCTGCCTGTAGTACTTCTTGCCGACCTTGACGAGGTTGTGCTGGATGTGCGACTCCATCAACTCCATGAGGCACTTTGTCGCGTGCTCTTTCCGCGAAATGTTACCCACAAACACGGCATTCTTTCTCTTTACGCCGAGGCGCTCTTGGACGACCTGCGCAAAGCCGGCTGGATCATCTCGGGTGCTGGCGAGCGAGTGCCATCGCCTTGTAAGCTTCGAAGCAGGGCGCCTTTGGAGTCGAGGGTCCACCAGACCGGCCTTGACTTCGAGGTGCTTTTTGATGACATACTGCGCTTGGCTTGGGACGCCTCCCATGAGCCTAACGACGGCATCTTGAGGGATGGTGTCGAAGGCGGATTGCACGTCCACTTTTGCAAAGTAAAAGGTCGGACTGTCCTCGCCAAAGCTTGCGCTGAATGAACGGAGCCGTGTGTAAATGTCACCCACCGAGAACATGGACGAACCGAGCTTGGATGGGTTACGCTCCTGGTAATCGTTAGCACCGGCCACGTTGAGACACGGAGACATCCTACAGTTTCTAGCCTGAGCATAGAATGGACGGGACCCAGGACGGAGTTGATGCTCGGCCCGAGTGCGTTTCTCCCTTGGACAACTGCCCGCCTCCGCAGATTTGTAATGGGTCTCATGGTTTTGCCCTTTGGGAGTAGTCTGATGCGGCTGAACCCTAGTCTCCTCGACGCAAGGATGCGGTTTGCATCGCCTAGGCTCACCTCCTCCAACATATTCGCTCTCAGCGTCGCCATGGCTGGTTCGGCCACATAACGCCAGACGTCATGGCGAAAGAAGAACAGCCGATAGCGGTGAGAGCTCGACTCCGTAATGTAAAAGTTACTGCGCAATAGGGGTATCAAAATGGAATCAAAAACATAGTAGAGAAACTCGTGCAGGATCTCGAGCCGCTTCTTCATGTCCGACTGGCTGGTCTTCATGCCTTTCAGTTTGGGCGGCGCCAGCCAGTCCATGGCTGTGACCTAGCATGCTGTTAACCAGAAGCTTCGACATCGATGCAGACGTGCTTGCCTTTATCCCGTCCGTCACCTCCTCGAGGGTCATGCTTTCGAATCTCCTCAGTCTGACAAAGTGGTCAACTCTCTTGAAGATCAAGTCACGATTATGTGCTTGATCAGGACCGCTGCCCCAGAATTCGTTGGGTATGAGTCTGGCCAGCACGGCGCGGCAAAAGGCGGACACGTGGGGTGCCGGCGTCGCCAGATCAGTGACGGCATCGAACTTGATCACCGGTATCGAAGGGGCCTGTTGCCGAGCTTTGTGGCGATGCTTTGTCGTGACGGCGCTTCGACTGGCGGGTGCTGTCGCCTGTGTATTGGTGAGCGAGAGCTGCGTGCCTGACGGCTTGGCCGGCTTCTTGTGCGCCGATTTCCGAGTCTTGCCATCGATCGCAGACGGGCAGTGGTGACGCAGCAGTTCGGCGTACGCACAGCGACCGTGAAGCCACTGCAAGTGCCCGACCAGTCGTTTGACGTCTCCCCGTAGCCTTTTCGGCGTTCGAATCTTCTGATCCCTGAACAGCGAGTTGATCTCCTCTTCACGCAGGGTGTAGTCAGGGAGCTTCTGGGCGGTCTTGAGATGGTCGACCTTGGAGGTGAAGACGTTGTGCAGTCCAAACTGACGAGGAAAGATGTACATCATCACCTTTAACGTGTTCTGCTCATTTCTTTGATCCAGCCGCGTCTTTTGATCTGGGTCGGCCTGGGCAGAACCTGTCACCCTTGGGCAACGGCTGAGAACATCTAGGGCACTGTTAGCCACGGTTTGATGACGGCAAAAGAGACTCACGTATATGCCTGAATCCGTAGTGAACAGTCCCGCGGCCGGTGAGAGCAGCGCGGGCATACAGCATGCGATTTCTCATGAAGGGCAGCTCTGACGGCAGCCTCTCGGATTCAAGCTTGGAGTCCTTTGCAGGCTTCTGTGCCGCAGCAGGCTCCCATCTTGCCGTGTCTGCAGCGAACATTGGCGTACCGCTGAGCTGGTACATGTTCCCTACACCCGCTTGCGCAGGGAGGAAAATGGCCGTGTCAATGAGAAGGTCGATCATGATTTGTTCGCCTGATTTCCCCAACAGCATGAGAAGCTGCGGCCACGGAGAAGCTTTGAGGGTCTGGACGAAATGGTTGGGATGAACCGGGTACAGACCAGACGGCCAGTCGCCATTTCTGGGCTCTCGCGGGTTGCCGGCGTTTTGCGCGTATCTTCGGAAGCCATCGCAAAGAAGATGCCTGGGCCAACCACCTGACTGGTTGCTGGAGAAGAGCTGCCAAATGACAAAATTTACAATCTGCCGACGTTGTTAAAATGAGATGACATAGTAGTCGAAGAGCAGCACCGACCTCCGACTGCGAGCAAGTCGCGCCAGCTAGCCCTCCGGACAGTGACATCACAGAATCGTCGCACTTTGAATCATTGCCCCTTTGCGAGAAAGACCGCCAGTTCTCCCATCGAGATTCAGCCCTTGCATTGGTCTGACGATGCATGCATACCAGCGTTGAGTCTAGCAGTTTTGACAGGTCGGCTTCTGCCGGAAGCGCTTCTTTGGCGAGGGATGCGCGTGACAGTCCAATGGAGGCAATCTTCTTGCGTCGAAGCCTGGATGAGCTCGGGAGCCTAGACAGCAGGTATTCGCGGAGATTCTGCACCTTGTCGTAGTACTGTAGAAGGACCGACTGCTTGACGGCATTTTGGGCTCGGTCAGCCTTGAGCCTTTTGGATTCAGAGCGGCCCTCGACTGGTCGCTGCTGCGGCTCTGCCTTTCTCTTGGGTGCCATCGTAGCGGCTGGACCTCATCCAAAAGTCAACATCGGGTTGTAAGTGCGGTTGACCACCGGTCGTTCCCATAGGACGCGAGATCGACGTGACACTCCGATTTCCCAGCGCGTTGGTTGTGCAATCAGGATCCAAGACTCAAGAGGAGGCACTAGACAATGTCATCACAGGTAGACATGGGGCCATGTGTCTGTGGAATAGTAGTAACAGACGGGGGGATCACACACGAAGTCGACGTTGAGGTTGGCAAGCGCGACGCGTCTTTGTCGAAGACGGTAAAGACAGAGACGCTACGGAGACAAAGCAAGTGCCGTAACGGTAGCTACGTACCGTGCGCTACTCCAGCGCGAATAGCAGAAAGATAGACGCCGGCGTGGTGGTCTAGGCGCATCTCGTCGAGGTGGGACGACGGCGCACGTCCAGTGATCTGCCGGACACGGGCGCCGTCTCAAAACGGTGGCTTTGTGGCTTCAGCAGACGCTCGCTGGGCAGCATCGGCGCTCAAGCCACCAGGGGCGCACAAGGACGAGGGCGCTAAGGCGTCCCCCAGCCGGGGTGGTGAGACGAAAATACGGTCGTGGGGGTCCACTACAGCAGTGCTCCCGTCGCCTGCAGCAGTCGACATTCATCAGGGCCACCAGCTCCAGTCCGATCTCAAGCCGGCCCTTTCTTCCGTTGCACTCAACAGGAACCTGCGATGCAATGTGCTGCACAGCACTACCTTTGCACTACGTCGATAAAAATATGCACCGTCACTTGCCTCTCCGCACGATGGCTGGGCTGGCGGGGAGGAGCTACATGCAAGGGCGACGCAAAGCGGAAAGCGGGCGGCGGCTGGCCACGAAGACTCTCAGCCATGCGGTGCGACGTCGTACTGCGTGTCCAATAATTTGGGAGGAGGAAACACCTGGGGGGGGAAGCACATGTTGTCCACGATAGACACGGCATCAGTCGACGTTGGCCTGTACAGACAATCCATATACGAGGGCTTGAGCCTCCGCGGTAAGCAAGACGAATGGGTTGTGGGTTTCAACCTGGGTGAATGAGACGCTCTCAGCCACTTGCGCCTCGTAAGGGGCTTGCGACTCAAGGGCCGAAAGGGAGAAAAGAGCCAAGGGAAATGGACCGACATCCATAATCTCCAAGCCCGTCAATCAAGCCCCTGGCTGCTGACATGACCTCGAGGCGTGCAGCTCGCGCGTCAAATCCACATGCGAGATGATTTGATGGATGTTAACGTCGTCAAGGTGGAGGTTAAGAGGCTGAAAAGCTCGTGAACAACCTCACGACGAACCGACGATGATGGCTGCACTGCCGCTGCCGCTCAGATACAGCCCGCGCGCCAAGCCCACCGGCCCTGACTAAGGCGAGGAATGTCGAGTCCTCGGTCGTTACTGACGTGAGCTGGTAGAGGCGGAGCTGCGGCCGGTACAGTGCTACCACATAGCCGTTGATTTGCCTAGCATCATATTGCAGGTCTTAAGATAGGCACAGACGCCTCACGAGTTGCAGTTGGGGAACTTCCCTGCTCGTAAATGGTCTTTCGCCGCGTCTCCCATGGCACGAGCCGGGCTTGTTCCTGTGGCTATCAATGTCTGCACCTGCAATCAGCAGCAGTCGCCCTCTATCGCGACAATGGCCTCTACGGCACCGAGGCTATTGAAATGATTTGAAAAGCCGACGTGGCAGATTGTCCACCAGAAGCTGGATATCGAGTGATGGACGATAGTGGACGATGGTGGACGAGCGAATGAGACGAAGCAACGCCGCAAAAGCAACGGGTAGCGGAGCTTCGCACACGAACCTAGAAAATAGTTGGGACGTTGGAGGGCAAGTAACTCTCGGATGTTTCAACCCGGAACCTGCTGGATGCGACGCTGCCGTGATATTTGCACACGCAGGCCGTCGTGATGTGATTTCCCTGGTATGTGCCTCGCTGGAGACTGACGTGAGGGCTCGACCTGTTCAATCTATTCCGCCTCGGAGCGACGCAGGGCACGTTACCTTGCCGCTGTCTCATGGGTCGGTGCGGTGCGATGCTGGCGGAGATGGAGGCATTTGGCATGGATCCTCCCCTCTTGGAATGGGTGACATGGTGCCGTCATTTTGGAGGTGCGTTCGCAGCGAGCGCAGCCCCCAATGACCAATCCCACGGCTGCACACTCGGGCCCCCCATCGTTCTTCGCTTCCGTCGGTGGGCGCCCAAAGGTTTGGCCGATTGGATGTGACGTCTGGTGGCCGTGCCTCCTTGGCACTCCAAGCTTACCTCGAGTCTTAAATGCCAGTCGAGCAGAGAGTGCCGTTTTGACTTTGCGGGTAGGGAGGCTTAGGCACGGGGAACTCAATGCACTCCGGTCCCTCTAATATCTCATGTCTTGCATTCGGGCGTGTCTGCTCGCTCACGAGACCTTTTGAGACGGGACGAAGCGAGGGCCAAGGGGCCAACATCGGATCTCTGTCTGAGAAGAAAAACAAAAGAAACCAAAGTTTCTGACACTACCTTGGTTCACAGGAATTTTTCTTCATGGAAGAACGAATACAAACCGGCCGGAGAAATGATTGCGACAACAACACACACAACGGCCGAGATACCTGCAAACAAAGCATTGGCCTGGCGGCGGTGGTGGTGGAGCTGGCTGTTTGTTTCTCTGGGGCTGTTTTTGCAACCACATCCCCGACATGTTTTCCAAGGTCCAAACAATCCGGTGGAGAGGCCAAGCAAGGAATGGCATCGCAACTGCAAATTGAGGCTTGGTTTCTCCAGCCCGTAGGATGAATCGGAGTCGACGGCAGGGCCCAGTTGGATCCGTCGGTTCCAGCAGATGGAAGCAATGGGAAAGGATGGTTGCTTGGGTAAGGTGAGCGATCCACGTTGTCGTCGAGTTCTTTGTTTGTCCAGGTCCGGACGGGGGAGGCCGTTTCCATCACCCAGCACGCATGGCAAAGGTCGGCCGTTGGCAAAGTCAATTTCATTCACTCGGACTTTTTTTTCTTCTGTCCTCGTCGCTGGGCAGTTTTGGAGACAGATATTATTTTTCCGCCCGGGGAAAAGCAGGCGGGATGGAGTCATGCCTGCTGCTTCGGTTCCAGGTCCAGTTGAATCCATGGAGCCCAGGACCGGTGTGTCGTCCGGCTTTCGCTCCCTCTTTCCCGAGTCTCCGGACGTGCCTGCCGTACTGTCTCTAGCACCTGCACCTGCCGTCATTCCCCTCCCCGTAGCGCAGCCCCTCCCCCTTCCCACTCGTCCCTCCCTCTCCCCTGGCTGCGCCTGCCAAGGAGCCTAACCAATTTGTGCTCCGTACCTTGCACACGACGTCCAATCCTGCTTGGCTCCTGCGGTCCTGGCTGCCAACCCAGACCGAACTGACCCCATCTAGACCGATTGGACAGCTTCCAGAGCCCTCACCTTTCTTACAAAGTCCCACTTCCCGTCTCAGCTCGCCATCCAAGGCTCCTCTTCACCTGTGAACCTATCCACCGTGACTTCCTTGGCTGCTGCGTAGGTACCTCCTTCCTTCCCTCCAGTAAGGTAACTGGCTGGGGTAGTTCTCACCCCAAAGTACCTGAGGTATCTAGCTACTCGGGCTACCTCGTTCTTTCTCGTCGAAAGCACCATCCTTCCTCTCGTCAATCAATTCGTAGGCTGCTTGCTTTTTGAACACGGCACGCAGGACTGGACACGAAGCAGGTGCGGCAAGTAGGCAACTACGCCAATTCACCTCGATCCAGTTCAAGGCGAGGAAGGCGCTGCGCCAAAAATTAATTCTCCTCCTCCTGCCCACTCCTGCACCTCATTCTGCACATTGGATTGCGCCTGCTTTCCCCCAAACTCCAGTAGTCTACTGCGTAAAGACTGGCCGCCTCCTCTCTCACCCTTCCATAATCGCTACGCCTACACCCGCTAAAGCAGCATACGCCTCTCGCCGTCCCCCCCAATCTGTCTCCTCGCTTTTACACCTCCGTCTATCCTTCCCGCTTCGCTCTCTCGCCTTTGTGTGTTTGAGTGAGTGGCTCTCTACCTGTGAAAGAGTAGTGCGTGCGCCTGTCTCTCCCTACCTTCACCTTCAACACCACCAAATCTCACCTCTTGCCATCCCATCTCGCTGCGTCCGATTCGATCACAACAACCAACTGGAAAGACCCCGAGAAAAAAAAAAAAAGGTCACAAACTTACTTTTCGCAAGCCTTCCGAATCTCGTCTCGACTCTTGCCAAAAGACCAAAAAAAATCCAAATCTCCATAATAACCCCCACAGAGCAAAAGTCGCACCACGGGTACTCCTGCGGTGGCCACCCATCCATGCATTAAGATTTGCTGTCGATAGGCCCCGGACACTGCCAACGCTCGCCAACCAGGGACAGCCCGTCGCCTCTCCAAACTGTCGCTGCCCACTCAGCTTGCAGGCCAACACATCAATGCTTCCCAACCCAAACATCCCACGCAGCCTGCATGGGTCTATGGGAATCCTGACGAGCCAGTCCACCCAACACGCCTGACGGATGTTCAGGCCACAATGGAAGCTGGCAGTCCAGAAGAGGAGGACCGCCTGGCCGCCGTCCTGCAACAGCAGCACCGACAGCAACAAACTACCCACTACGCTCATCACCAACTTCATCGACAACCAAACTTCGAGCCGAGTTACGAGTACCACGAGCCCGATCTCGACCACGACGCCGACGACGCCGACGACTACGACCCTTACCGCCACCCGTCCGAACATTCTTCAGATACCCGTCATCACCACTACCTCCCTACGAGCCCTGTAGCGAACGGTTTCCATCCTCATCAGACATTGGATGCCTCTGCCGCCGACACGGCTGAGGCCTTCGCTGCGGATGGTCATGCTCACGGCCTCGTAAACCCGGATGATTTCTACCGAAGCTATCGAGGTGGACCGTCGTCAAACCATCATCAACGAACCCTTTCATCAGACAACGACTTCATGGCGACCTCAGTCTCCCGAGCCCGCGATAACCCGTCCGTGCGGTCAAACGGCAATGGC